AGTTTGTGCACTGTTCCGTGGTGCCGCTGTAAGGCGCTGGAAGGGTAAGCAGGTCCTGTCCAGGGAGCAGGTAAGGTTTCTAAGTCAGAGACTGCTCTATCCAACTTTAGCAAACACAGTTTCCATCCAAGTTTTGTATTGCAGATGCATCCATCTTGTTTGAAAACAACCATAGCCTTTTTTCTTTAGCACTCAAGAACTTTGAGACTTTTGTTATTATCAACTTTTTGCGTTATTGAAGAAGTTATTAATAGCATAGTGCTACACTGAACGACTCCTCTTGCCTATTTTTTATAGGAAAAAAAAGTCAGCAAATTAAACGTACAGCTCTTCCCTGGAATGTTTAAAAAACAGACTGAAATTCCTTTCAAAGGACTGCTGTGGAACAACTTTAATTTTTTGTTTTCTAAATTGCACCTGTAACACAGTAAAATAATTAACATCTATGGATTTTGCTCGTTAGTGGTCACGTTTCCTCCTTGCTAAAGATGACCGTGGACAAACCAGAAAGTGACCTTGCTTAGTGTCTTTTAAAACTTGGAAAACTGCAAAGTTATATCACATGCTGCCTACAGGACTTGCGTTACTGTTGTTCATTTTCTCATTTTACCGGTTATTGTTTATCCACTAGTGGTGACGTAGTGTTTGGTCTGAATTGGATACTGCATCTCCGCTTTCGGAAGATTTGAGGAACATAATGAACATGTCGGTGTATGGGAAATCTGATGGCACGCAGACTTGCATAGCTCCAGCAGGAAAGAGCTGGCTTAGGACAGTTAAAATTCCTGAAATACCTGAAATAAGGGCTAAAATCAGCGTAGTTAATGCTCACCACGGGGTTGCACGGTTGGCTCTGAGTGAAAATTACTGCTGTTTATCACAATTTTGTTTTACAGTTGGAGAATAAAAATAAGTTATCTAATCCTTACGATGTAAGCAAAACAGTTTATGGGCCTTGCATGATTTAGCTTCAGAGTTGAAACTAAATAATGTTTTGCGTCTCACATCTGCTGTGCTGAATGACGACTTAGCTCCTAGCTTTATGCTCTGCAACAGCCATCAGCAGCTGGTTTTGATCTGGCGAAATCTAAGTGTTAATTTTAACTGGTGCTTTCTCAATTATTCTTTTTTCCCTTCCGTGTATCGGTTTGATCGTGGCCACGTTCTGCATGCACCTCCTCTCACTGCATGTGTCTGTGACTGGCTAACGCCAGCACGGCTGCTCTTCACTCCGCTTTATGAAAGACCAAAACTGAACTTTCAGTGTAAGAACTGGCTCGCATGTGACCTCGGAGACTCGCTGTTCTGTCACGCAGCATACGAAATAGGTCGAAAGTAGGATTTTTAGTGCTCAGATTTCATCTGTGTACTGTAGAATACTTCTTGTTTTGATTTACTCTGCTTGTAGGCATGTAACTTTGGAATTCAGAAAAAAAAAAAAAAAGCACTAAAACTATTGAGCACTGGTGGTATGCCTTTTCTTTTTTAACTGCAAAATGATCCGGGACCTTAGAGAACGAAGAGGTTAAACTAGTCTTGAGACCATTTCCCGATTCTATTCAGTTCCATTGTGCAATGTACACTTCAGTTACTTTTCTATCAGTCTGCAGACACGGGTGTATCCAAACATTGAACCTAATGTGTACTGTATAGTGTTGTACATGAATGTTTGTGTTTTATATACCACATGCAAAATGTCAATATGCACTATTTAAATGTTTTAAATAATATATTCCTCCTTTATAATGCTTAAATCTATATGATTCCAATATTTTTATAAGTGAGTGAGTGATCAGACTGGTTCCAATTCAGAATTAACAGCTGCTTTGTGTTTGTTATGCAGTGTTTGGCTGTTTATTCAGTATAGTAGATAAGCATGGCAACAGTTATGCTGAGTGTGTTTTGTGCCATCCTTGTTGAGCAATAAAGAAATGGTAGAACTAGGCATTTTGTGATATAACAGTTTTACTTTGGTAAAAGCAAACCCTATATATCTATGTGGATATATAGATATGAATATATATAACTGAACCAGATGTAATTGCATTGCTATGTCTGGTGCTCATTGTATAGACTTTTATAATAAAAGTACCTTAACCTTTATTGCCATGTACCTTTGCTTCTCATCGTGCATTTTCCTCCACTTCCATCTCTTGCAAACAAGCGCTGAGTCCTTCGCTATCCCTGTGTGTGTTTGCAGTTTCAGGGTGTCGCTGAGGCAGGCCCGAGCGCCGCAGCCCGCCAGC